GTTAGGTGTTCCACCAGCTCCTGTCAAAAATAGCATTTGGTCAAGTCCTTATATAAGATATGGTCTCCCACTAGGTTTGCTAGCTACAGCAGGAGCAGTTATGATGTTGAAAAGAAATAAAGCAAATGTTGTAAATAATACTGAAGTAGCTGAAGTTAAACAAACTCCAACACCTTCACAAGCAAAACCTTCAATGACTCCTGAACCTATGGAAGTACAAACTCCTGTTCAAAAGTCAACTCCTAAACCGACTCCAACATTTAAACCAGAACCTACTCCTCAAATAAATCGTAAAACTCCTGCGTTTCCTTACTGAAAAATAACGTTATTTTATTTAATATTAAAATTTTTATTTGATTGAAATGACAAATAAAGTCACTGAAGCAATGAAACAAAAGTTTTTGGTAGAATACATTAAATCAGGAACTATTCCAGAAGGTTTTTACATTCATACTATGAAGGATGGTAGAGTTCAGTTTAGAAAGATAAAGCAACCATTAGATAAAGAAGGAATTTTGAGAAAGATTAAACTTCATGAGGACAACATTGCTGAACTTAGAAGAAGTTAGAAGAGTTGGAGAAAGGAAGAGAGTTATAAAGCAATGAATTCAACAGGGTGAAAAAAGAGGTGAAAAAAGAGGTGAGATCTCACCACTTCACCTAAATTTATTTTTGTGCTATGTTTTCATACGTGTGAGGGTGGTGATATCATTAATTTTTAAGTTTATTTTTTTATTTTACTGAAAATTTTTATTTGGATGTAAATGACAGAACAAAAGCAACTCATTCGAATTCCACAGTATAACAAACATACATTTAAACATTTATTCTTCCTTCCTGAGCATAACATGTTCTTTCAAATACATCCGAGACCAGTTGACTTTTCATTGACTGTGTATAAAGATAGAAATAGTTATATCATTAAACCATACGATGACGAAGGTAAGTTATGTAAATTGTACGTTAAGAAGTTAGAGAAAGTTTATGGCTTCAAGTATGACTACAATAGGGTTAACACTGATGATGAAGATATTGAGGAAAATTTATGAGAACATTAGTGAAGTCGTTAGTGAGAACGATAGTGAGAACGTTTATTTTTTACATTAGTGAGTTCGTTAGTGAAGTGGTTGGCGGCTTTGTAAAGTGTCAAATTCACAAGTATTGGGTAAGGTGGAACGCAGTGCCGCCGTACCCATGACTTGTATACTAACTTAGTTCTTTATTTTTAAAAATCTTATTTGGTGGTTACTCTCAATTTTCTCAATTTTCTGAGCAATGAATTTACTTTTTTATATCAAATTTTAATGAATATCAAATCTTATAAACAAGATGTTGAAAATATTGATATTGGTGATTGTGTCTCCAAGATACCATTTCCTGTTGACAAAATAGATGCATTTGACGAAAATATTCATATTTTTACCCGGATTGTTATTTATTACGACTTTAAAATTTTAGCATTAGAATCCGATGATACATATCTATGTTATTTTCAATGGCAAAACAAATCAACACATAATAAACAAAAGAAAATAGGTACATTATTGTATTCATTAATGAATAACGAAATTTCACTAGTAGACTTTATAATGCAAGATCAACAGTTCTCTCTTAACCGTTACATATGGTGGTGTCTAGACCAAAGCGTTCCAGAATTCTTCAATCAGATACTTTTCATTGTTTTTACGCATTTCGATCAAGATTTTATCTTTTATAGCGGTCTTTTTTCAAATATTATTGATAATTATAATGATTACAATTCTAGCAAGAAAAATTTTTTCGTTCAGATAATTTGCTATTGTATCTTAAATTTCGAATTTTCACAGAACGATCAACAAATAATGTACCACTTTTTATTGGAGGAAGGACTACTTGAATCATTTAATAATAACAGTCTAAGATTTAAAATTGATTTATTGTTGGCTCTTGAAAAATGCTATTGCATATTCGGAAAGTATGATTTTATGCATGACAAAATTGAATTAATAGATTTATCATATGAGAGCCAATTATTCGAAGAAAATTGCCCAAATTTCTTAGAATACTTGATTGAATTAACAGATGAGGATGGTTCATAGAAGTTTATATGAGGATTTACTTTGAATAAATATAATTTTAATGAATTAAAAATTAATTTTATATATTTGGCTATTGTTATTATTTTTAGAGTATATGAGTTGGGGCAAAGTGAAACAAATTTTTGACATAAAAGAAAGTCTTTGAAGAGAGTTAAAGAGAAATTTTTAAAAGATTAAAAAAATAGCATATATAAAATTTAAGGATTTGATATGGTAAGGAGATATTATAGTTAGTAAACATATCAAGGGTATGGTGGCACTGCCTTCCATCTTACCCATTATATGTGAATTTGACACTTTACAAAACCGTTAACGTATATTTTACAACACAAACGACAACACTAACTTAACCTTAAATATTTACAAAGCCGCCACCCACTTCACCTCACTAACGTTTTCACTAACGAACTCACTAATGTAAAAAATAAACGTTCTCACTATCGTTCTCACTAACGACTTCACTAATGTTCTCATAAATTTTCCTCAATATCTTCATCATCAGTGTTAACCCTATTGTAGTCATACTTGAAGCCATAAACTTTCTCTAACTTCTTAACGTACAATTTACATAACTTACCTTCGTCATCGTATGGTTTAATGATATAACTATTTCTATCTTTATACACAGTCAATGAAAAGTCAACTGGTCTCGGATGTATTTGAAAGAACATGTTATGCTCAGGAAGGAAGAATAAATGTTTAAATGTATGTTTGTTATATTTTTCGATTTGTATGAGTTGCTTTTGTTCTGTCATTTATAAAAAAATAAAATAAAAAATAAACTTAAAAATTAATGATATCACCACTCCCACACGTATGAAAACATAGCACAAAAATAAATTTAGGTGAAGTGGTGAGATCTCACCTCTTTTTTCACCCTGTTGAATTCATTGCTTTATAACTCTCTTCCTTGGTTTCTTTTTAGTTGCTTTCTTCACGTCTGTCTCCAACTTGACTGTCTTTCTTCTTCGGCCGTAATGATACCAGTTACTTCCACCAGTCAATGGGTCAAATGGTCTTTCATAAGGGTTTTCATACATTCCATAGGGACCATACGGAAGAACTACTGGTGGAGAAGAAACATTTTCTTTAGTTCCATCGACTCTATTTAAATGCATTGTTTCACCTTTCATCTGGTCATTAAAGTCTTTTGCGTGTTTTGCAAACTCATCGTCCTTTCCTAAAGCATTTTCTGACTCAGTCGCAACCAAATTGGATGCTTTATTTATGAGCCCTATTTTATTTAATCTTAACTTCTTTGCAACCCAGCCTCCAATCTTCCCTTTATTTGCATCTAATGTCTTTGAAACCCTTCCTCCACTCATTTTATTTACTGCGTCATAAGCTCCAAGTGCTTTTGCTCCAAATGCTAATGCTTTTGTTCCCATTGCGCCTAAAGCTGCCCAAGCTACCATTTACCCCATATTAAAATCATCTCTCTTCAATATTATCTCATAAAAGTTCTCGTTACTGGAGAAAGTCAATGAAACATAAACATTCTCACGGGCTTCGCCCTCACCGCTTTGCGGTCTATCTAACTTCTTTCTTATCTCATCTATACGCTTCAAAATGTCTGAACAATTGCTAACATCTTCTACAACAGTTATTTCATCATGAATGACCTTCAAAAACAAACTCATTTAATATGCTATTAAAATCATCTCAATAATGAGTCCATCCTTTCCATCTTTAGGTAGCACAACATCTTTCATTGAAGAAGGTTCGACAAGTCTTATGTTAAACTTACTGACAAAGTTTGTTATACTATAATGCTTCGGCGGCGAATACATGTAGTTTGAAAGACATAATATAGATTCTTCAGCAAATTCACTTATACTGGATTTTATAACAATGTTCTCACGAGACCAAATACCGCCAATTGACAATCTTGTAAGCAATCCTGCTGAACCTTCTACTGTAAACGTCGATGGTAACATTCCACGAAGGTCATCTATTGACATCGTTGAGTCACTGTATTTAAATATTTTCTTAAAGCAATCGTCATTATCTAACCATGCAATAGCTTTGAAGTTTTCATTCTAATATACATCTGCTTCATTAAATGTAAATCCTGACTTCTTTGCAGAGATGACTTTAAAATCTATTGAGTTTGTTTCAAAATTATATGCTATGGTAACTTCTGAAGGTAATGGATGTCCTTCCGCAGTCAGTTGTTCTCTCACTACCGTTTGAAGCTTTGTATTAAAAACTTTCATGTCATCTCCTGTATCTAAGTTCACATACACAGCAACAGGAAAACTATCTTGCTTCTTTGTTTCATCATTATACCTCAAAACATTAAAGTTCTTCAATAATATTGTTCTTCCTGCTGGAATACTTCGAACCTGTCTGATTTCAATAGCTTTCTCACCTCCTACATACTCTACCCAGTGTCTTGGATATTCATAAGTATACTGACTTTCTTGAATTTTGGTTGGTTTCATCATAACGTGTTCATAGTATATCTTTATACTCTTGTCAGTTAGACTCGGTGCTATGTTCTGAATATTTCTGACTTGCATTTTTAATGGAGATAAAATGAAGCATTTAATACATGACGTAGATGAAGACATGAATGAAACTACAGACAAACTTAACTCTTCTCTCATTCTTCCTTTCAGTAAGGACTATGAGTTCTGTTCAAATGGTGTTTATTTCTATTGTGGAAAGATGGGTTCAGGTAAGACATTTAACCTCATTCGTCATATACTCATAACAGAACGTTTAGGTCAAGATTCATATTATGACCAAATCATTATATCAGCAACTTCAGACTCTATGGACTCAACAGCGAAAACATTTATGTCAAAAGTTCAAGCCTCTGTCGTTAAAGTTCCAGACAGTGAACTCATTGAATTTCTTCAACGTTACATTCGACGTAAGAGGAAATATTATGCCATCGTTGAATTTATACAGTCAGGAATGCAAAAGACTTCAGAAGAGATGGAAAGAATTATTGACAAACACCACTTACGTCAATACTCAGGAGTTTACGATATGAAACGACTTACAAACTACATTCTATCAAAACTTTCAAAATACCCCTTCAAAAAGTATCCTTCAAACACTCTGCTCGTTTGTGACGACTTCGCTGGTAAAGGTTTAGTGTCAAAGCCTGACTCACCATTAGCTAACATCATTACTAAAGTCAGACATTACCACTTAACTGTAGCAATACTTATGCAAACATGGAGGTTTTTAGCTTTAAACATAAAACGTCTCATAACTGACTTCGTTATCTTTCAAGGTTTCTCACGTTATGATATTGAACTCATTTGGAAACAGTCAGGTATAACATTACCTTTTGAAGAAATTTGGGAAGCATATAAGTCTCTCATCTCTCCTCGTTCATACCTTGAGATTCATATCATGACTAATACCATTAAAGTCAAAAATATTCCATGGGAACGACCAACATTGTTTTAAAGTTTAACCTTCAATTGACTGATGGTAAACAAATTCCATGCATCTCTGTCGCCATTTCTGTTAATATTTTTGCTGTCATTCATATCATCCACTTCCCCATCCGTTAGCTTTTGAAGATATGCGTTAGAATAGCTGTTCTTAAATGAAGGCTTTTCACCTTTGAGAGCATAAACTCTATAACTTTCTGCATACTTTATGTTTGAACCTCCTGAGCCATCATTGACATAAATTTTTATAGGCTTCCACCCTTTGTTCATGTTCCTGCTTCTTCCCTTAGCTCTTTTGTTCAGTAGTTCTACATCTTTATACACAGCACCTATCTCAGTGAATTCAACAATATTTTCGTTCGTTAGCTTTACATTCAAACCCTTGTCGAGTATATTGTTCATTTCATACATATAAAAGGTTTTTATTCTATATGAAATGAGAAGCAAATCCATCTTAGCTGGTGCCGTTAATGTTCCAATTGAACCAACATCAAATGTTGACTCACGAACGACAAACAATATTGTCATAAAGAACTATAGTTCAGAGTGTTTGAAAGAACCAGAACCAGAGCTGAAATCCGTGAATTTAAACACAGCTTCAAACGCTAACGCTACATCAGATGTTAAGTTAGAGTATCCACCACTGGACCAAATTCTTTCAAGAGAAGCCAACGACAATCCTTACACAAATGTTCAAACAAATCCTTCAGATAACGTAGACCATTACCTTCTTCAGTTATACCAAACAATTTTACTCAAAGACGATAAGAAGCTTTTGACAAATCTTATAAGCAAGAACCAAATAATTCTAACAAAGGAGGATTTAGAAAATGTTATCTCACGAATAACAGGGAAACAATGTGTCATTGACTATCTCGACCCTGAAATCGAATGCTGTGGTCAAACTCCACTATTCATGAAAATAGGTAACATCCGCATCATTGAAACACCAGGAACTACAGGAGTTGAGTTTAAGTATAAATATTCGAACGAGTATACAAAACTTTCAACAGAATATAAACTTTGTTTGAAATATTTTTAGTAAATTAAAGCAGTCAGTCAAAAAAATTTCAAGTTAGCAATTTGTAATATCTATCCAAAACTTCTTCAACAGTATCGAACTCATCTTCATAATGCAAACCTAATCTTATTGACTTGGTGCAGTTTTCACTAACACAATATTTTTCTGTTCTCTTGACTGACATAACTAATTCATTTGTTTCATCAAACAGCAACAACCAAAGTTCATGACCTAATACATAACATTCATACTTTATATTTTTAGCTCTGAGTTCTCTTGTAAGCTGTTGCATTTAATATTTTCTAAAAAGTCAACTTCAACAGTCATTCGCACTGGTGCCTTCAGTTCTACAGGCTCTCCTTGAAAGTCAACAAGTCTGAATTGCATGTCTTTCAAATTATGAGGACTAATGCGAACCCATTTACCTAAATGAGTTGCTATGACAGGAACGTTTGGAATGAACATTGAATTGACTGCATAACAGAAGGATTTATATTCTACTGAACCTTTACTATTAACTCCTGAAATGCCTGTGACATTAGCTATTTTAGACTCAATGTATAAACAATTACCATAACATACGTATGGAACAGATTTCATCTCAATCGTTTTGTCAACACTTTTCAAAGGAAATGTCATATGGTATGCACCCAAAAGAAGTTGTACTCTATGACTCATTCTTGGTATCTTAAACTCCTTCGCATAACTGAACTTCAAAACTCCTGCAATAAGTTTAACATTCATTAAGTTTTCTTCGTTATCCTTGTTTATTGTAGTATTTATGAGAGCATTTAACACTCCAGCTAATGTTTCCATCTTATATTCTACATTATTGTGAAATCTTATTTCGTGCTTCTTTCCATCTATTTCAAGCTCCATGAAATCTGTTTCATCTGTTATAACGAATGAAGCGATAGTATTGAAGTCAACCATTCTGAATGCAAGCGCCTCATTCTGTAGACCTAAGTTTGTTTGTAGCTTTACTGTCCCGTATTCGTTTGGGTCTGTACTTTGCAAATAGAACAACATTTTATTCTCATTAAAATATGAGTATAGCTGCATATGCGTATGAAGCTGACAGAGCTAAACGTTTATATTTTGGTCAATACTCTCTCACACTTACTGACAAATATATTGTTATCACTGATGGAAATACTGAGAAATACATAACATGGAAGGACTATGAAAAGTTTGACCCTATTTTAACTCCATGTACTATGCCGTTTATAAAGGACGGTGAAATTATTGAAAAAGATAATACAACCGTATATAGGTCTGTTTATGAAGCATTAGAATATATGTTGAATCATAACCCAAAAAGATTTGACCCAAGCACTACACCATGTGCAATGCCTTTTATTAAGGACGGTGAAATCGTAAGAGTTCCGGATTCAACGGTTTACACAGCTGTTCAAAACAGTTTACAAAACATTTTAGCGAATATCTTTAATTCAGAAACTACAGAAATAAAATTACCATATATAACAGATGCTAAAGAAATTAAATCAAAAACGACAACATTATTTACGTCACTTAATGATTTAATGACTTATATCATTAATATTCCTGCACCAACTACAGCATTTGATCCAAACTCGACGGTTTGCAGTGTACCTTTCATAAATGACAGTTCATTAATTACTTTAAGGGATTCGACAGTAAATGAATCATTAAAGGCGTCATTAATGAAAATCATTGATTTTAATTCATTCACGAATACATATAATTCATTCATTAATGTTTCATATGCTTCTAAAGAAGGTGAGCCAAAAACTATGATAAAGCGGTGTATGAAATAAAAGCATCAACGACGAAATTGAATTCGTTAACTTTTGACGGTGATAGTTTCGTTAATGACATAACATCGGGGAAAACAATTTTAACGAAAGAATACTTAAAATCTCATGTTAGTGAGTTCGTTGAAATTGAAAAAGAAGGTGGAATTAAGTTCGATCCACTGAATTTCATTTTCAGCTTAGCGAATGCGGGTGTTAGTTTCGCTGAATGGACAACTATACAGAGTGAAATAAATGCAATATGGACGTTTTTGGGGTCAAAAGCGGGAATGGGTGAGCTTGTAAATGCTGCAAGAACATTAGGTGAAACAGGAAATTTTGTAGATGGTTTTAAAAGACTTGTTTCAAATGTTTTAACAAACACAAAGAAATTATTTAGATATACCGTACATAACGGACGGATTTTCGAACAGATAGCAACAAACCCTCCGGTTATGGCTGCGTTGATGATGGTTAGAGATATAAAACCACGTAACGACGGGAACGGAAGAACATGAACAACAGGATACTGGTCGGGTTATTCGAGACATTAAAAACGTGTATCCTGAAGTTATTGATTTATTTAGAGGAGTTAATGATTCAATTTCAAAACATTCTATAACCCTCGATGAAGAGAATAAATTAACAGATTATATATTCGTCATTATTGCAGAATTAATGAAGAGAATAAATGAAAAAGGAATTGGTGATATCATTAATGTCAGCGATGTAATGATGAAAAGAAATTTTGACTCATTATTTACAAAACCGAAAACAGAATATAGTCTTTATGACGTAATTACCGAATTAATGAAAAAGATTAATGATAATAAGAGTTCTGGCGGAAGAGTTGAATTAGAAGTGAATGATGTTAATGAGAAATTAGCCGAAAAAGCAGACAAAAATGAGCTTTTAGCTCTGAGTGATAAAGTCAAGAACCACGTTCATTATATAACTTCAGACGAACAGATTATAACGGACTACCATGGATATTTAACACGAAGTGATGAAGCGAAGACAAAAAATGTTAATGAAAGAAGATATAAATACATTCGTGCTAAAGGTTATGACATAAGCTGTACTGTACAGTATGATGTAGCTAAAGCACCAGAAGCATTTGGTTATACCGGTGAAATTTATGCCTCTACTTTCAATGTTAACGGTGTATTAGTTGAACCAAGATTTACATTGAGAGTTAAGGCAAAAATAACGTTTGAAGATGCTATTAAAAGTAAAGCTGACAAAGTTGAACTCGAAGCAATGAACAAAGTTTTGAAATCTCATAAACACAACATCTCCGATATAAATGAACTTCAAGCTACATTAATAGTAAAGCTGACAAGAACCATACACATGAATCCTTCACTACTGTTAGAGCAGACGACATAATATTGAACTATACCCTTGGTTCAAGTGCACCTTTAGAGAATCCAAGTACAAGCGTAAAAGATACACTAAACAATTTAGATAACAGATGTATGAACATTGAAGGTCATGCCAGAAACTTTGAAGCATATGAACTACCAGCAATGTTAGATAAGAAAGCCGACAAAACTTATGTAGATGAAAATTATGCAAAGAAGTCGGAAGTAAATGCTGCGCTTAATGGAAAAGCCGACAAGAACCATACACATGAAGAATTTCAAACAATCAAGATTAAAGAAATTAAAGCATGCATCGAAATAGTAACAAAAACAGGAAGAAACGGTGCAACTGTACAAGAACAAAGAATTTATCCTCCTACTTTTCCTAATGGTTTAATAACAAACAATATAAATATTGAAGATGGCAATAAAGTTATAAACGTTAAACATGAACTTCAAACAATGAAGGCTCAGATTCTTCAAACATTATATCCTGTTGGCTCTATTTATACGTCAATGAATTCAACAAATCCAGCAAGTTTTAGGTTTTGGTACGTGGGAACAGATTGTAGACAAATTCTTATACTGTGCTAACTCTTCAAAGCAAACAGGAGGTTCGAAGAAAATTAAAGAAGCAAACCTTCCACCGCACAATCATACAGGAACTACAAACACAACAGGTAGTCATTCACATTCAATAACAAAAAGAGGTTATACAAATCTTGCAGCAGGTTCGGATAGACAGGGAATGCATAGATATGATATTTCAAGTGACCCAGTAGATTCAAGCACAGGTATTTTCTGTGGAACCACAGGTAATCATTCACACACTTTCACAACAAATCCAACAGGCTCGGGTGCAGATTATATGCCACCATTTGTGACTATATTCGCATGGTACCGCGTTCAATGAACGCGCTTGAGCCTAGAATAAAATCTTTAACTTTACATAAATGAGCTTGAAAGAAGTATTCGAACAACATCCATGGAGGTCATTTAAGAAGTTCAATGAAGCTGCAAAGAGTTGGGGATTTACTAACAGAGCTGAAGTGAAAAGGTTCTTTGACAAAAATGTTGTACATCAAACAAAAATAAACCCTTACGACTACTTTTTACCAATTTACTCCAACACTCCTGACGCATACCAATTTGACACTCTCATTCAAAGCAGAAAAGGAGGACATAAACCATTCCTCATCTTCATTAATGTTAACACTCGTAAAGCATATGCATATCCAATGAAAAATAAAGGAACTCGTGAAGTGTTAAGAGTTTTACAAAAGTTTGTAGCAGAACATAGCCCAAGTACTTTAACATCAGACCAAGACAGTGCATACCTCAGCAATGAAATCACAGATTTTCTCATTAAGCATAACATAACTCACTACACTACTGAAGACCATAACCATAACATACTCGGCATCATAAACCGCTTCATAAGAACGCTCAGAGATTTAAACCAAGAGCGAGACTTTACCGAAGAAACAATGAAACATTTTCTCGAAGTATATAATTCCTCAACACATTCTACAACAGGACATACACCAAATTCAATGACACAACAACAAGAAGAAAAGTATATACAAAAGAAACGAAGCCAAACACAAAATATCAGAAATTCAACACAATTTACCCTCATTCCTGGTACAAAAGTTCGTGTAGTTCTTGACGACAAACCGTTGACAAAGAAACGTTTAAGGTTAAGTAGAAACTATTATATCGTAGACTCTACGCAAGGTAATGGATATCTTATAAAAGCTGCTGACGACTCTATTGCGTTTTACCCTCGACATAAATTAGTCGAAAGTAGTAATGGCAAACTTGCTGAAACCATTGACGAAGCAAAGCGAGGAGTGGTTATTGAAATACTTGGCTATAACATAAACGATGACACTTATAAAGTAAGATATGAAGGAGGCGTTGAAGATGTTATACCATCTAAGAACTTGAGAGAGTCAAAGCCAACACATCTGGGACCATTAGAGCGGGAGTACTGGAAAGACAAAAATAAGCCAGAAAGAATAAGAAAATTCTTCTAAACTTTTTCATTAGATGTAAATCAGACATGAATGAGAACAGTCATGATATCATTAATGGTACCATTTATTTTTGTCATAAATTTACACCAAAAATATATTTTAGGTGAAGAGGTGAGATCTCACCCGTTTTTTCACCTCTTTTTCACCCTCGCCGCTTAGCGGCTCAGATTGCTTTAGCTTTCTCGTGAATTTTCATGAATTTCCTTAAGATAGAAAAATAAAGTTAGTTTTATTTTTATTTATTTTTTTATTTTGTATAAAAGATATGATTTCAACAATCGGCACAACAACAATTCAAGCCACGAACGGCGGGACTCTGTCCACAACTACAGCACCAAACTCGCTAGTCATGAATCCTACGTCAATGTTGGTAGAGATGAAAAGCTTTATTCCTTCTTCATATACTTTTGAAACAGAAATCCAGAAGATAAAGCAAGAACTTTTAACAAGTAATTTAGACTGTAGTGCGAAAGATGAAACAAATGAACAGTATCTTTATGAAATGGAGGACCTCATCGACCATTTGCCTAAACTACCTGAAATTCAGCAGCAAAAACTAACTATTCCTGAATTCGACGAAATTGAAGTCAAAGCAACTGACTCAGTAGAAATAAAGAAGTTCATACGAAAGGTAAATTATGAATTCCTTGGTTTTCATTGCAACCATAAAGTTATGGACAAAGATTGCGACATGGTTTATAAAAATATTTCTGACATATATAAATCGGTGGAGTTTAAGACATACGATAACTTTGTTTCATTAGTTGCAAAATGTGTATGGCAGATAAGAGATAAAGATAGAAGAGGTAAGGTATGGAATGAACAGATAAAACCAGCAGCTTTTGAGTTAAAGAAAACCATTGACGCCTTAGTTGTTCTAGCTGGTTTTATTTCAATGTATAACGCAAAAACGATGCCGCAATGTTCAAAATGTAAAGCAGCAATAAGAAAATATAACTACTCAGTCAAAGAGATAGAAAGAATGCGAAACGACTATGCAGACTTAAAGAAAGAAGCAGAAAAGCCAGCAGAAGATAAAATGGATATGTTGACATTTCTTAATAAAAACTATCCAACAGCAGAAGATTTCCTTCTGTCTGACGTCAAGAAGAAATATAAAGAAACTTTCGGCATTGTTAAAACATTCGATGTACTAAAAGAAGAAATAGAAGCTACGAAATTGTTTAGGATTTCAAATATACATCGTACAATTCATGTAAAACGCTTGTGAAAAAAAGAGGTGAAAAAACAGGTGAGATCTCACCTCTTCACCTCAACATTATTTTTATTGAATTCAGCACAAAAATAATGAATTTCATTAGTTATTTTGTATGTAAAGACAGTAATGACAAACATTGAGTTTGAAACAGTTAGAAAGATAGACAATGACACCAAAGTGGTTAGAATAGGTGATTTAAACGTAAGATACTCAAAGAAATACAACAAATATTCTTTGTCAGACATTATATCTCCATCTGGAAAGAAAACAAACGACTGGGTTAGAAATGCTTCAACTCAGAAAATTTTGACAAGAAATCCTGAGCTTATGATATCAGTAGCATTTCATGGAACAAGAGCATATCTTATAGACAAAAGTCTTATACCAATAGTTTTGTTATGGTTAGACCCAGTTGTTGGATATAACTTCATAACATATGGTTCATTCGATACGGAACGTTGCAGTGAAGGCTTACTTTACATCGTTCAGAAACCGAAGGACTTCAACACAAAAAGATATAAGATAGGAAGGACATATAATATAACTCAAAGATATGACAGTACAGTCAATAGAGTCAAGGTTGTGTTTGTTAATGATATGAGAGCTGCTGAAACAGAACTGCTTGAAGTTTTTGAGAAAATGTATGGTGCTCCCACGAAAGGTAAAGAAACGTTTGAAGTAGATGAGATAGATAAAGCTATAAAATTATTTGACGAAGTTGCTGAAAAATACATGTAAAGCGTTTATTTTTGGTCTTTTGTGAAAGTCAGAAAATAAAGTTAGTTTTATTTTTATTTATTTTTTTATTTTGTATGTAAAGACAGTAATGACAACATCAGAGAACACAACAACAGTTATAGTCCATGAAGCTATAAATGAAGAATACGAATACATACAGTATAACAAACAGTTACGTCTCATTCGTTCAGTCAAAGATGACATGTACCAAATGCAAAGTATAATGAATGCTCTTCGTTCTACAAAGCAAGCATATCATTGGTTTGAAAACCAACAGACAAAAGAACTTTTAGAAGAATTTCCTCATATGATTGCTTCCCTCGGAAAACCGAGAGAAGAGATTCCGTACGAAAATCGCAAGAATTTGGCTCCTGGTTTGAAAGGTTATTATGTTCATAGACTTTTAGTAAATGCTGTAGCAATGTGGGCTTCACCTCGTTATGCTTGTTATATTTTCATGATGTTAGATGAACTATATAAAGCAGAACGTGGAGAGATGGAAAAGAAACTTCATGCAAAAGATGAAGTCATTGAATCCAAAGACAAAAGCATACAGAAAAGAATACCGCGTTCAGTACCAAAAGGAAAGGAAAAGAGTTATAAGTATATGATATATACTGAAGAGTTGGAGAAAGAAGAAGATAAAGATATGGTTATGTTGCATTTAGTCAGAAGAAACAACAAGAGCTTTTATGACTTAGCTAAAATATATAAATCTGACAGAAACTGGTTCTATCGTGAAAACTTACCGATTTCAATGACACCGAATGAGCAAATAAAGGAAATTGTCAAAAATACTCTTCCTCAAACACACTATGACATCAAAGGTTGCACAATACTTACATTCAAAGAAGACTTAACATTACTGAAGGAAAAAATAACAGAATATTTCGATAACTTCAAAGAGGAAGAATAAAAAAATCTAAGCTAATTTTATTTTTTTTATAAAATTTTATCTCATATGAAAGAACATGAATTTAGAATATTCGGAACTCATGACAGAAGAAGAGAACGAACAACATGTAAAAGATTATGCAAAATTTCTGAAGGTATATAAAGCTTATGAAAAAGCGTATGAAAAGTTTATACATTGGGGAATTGTTGTAAAATATCGATATGAAGACTAACCAAAAATATATTTTTGCTTAAATAGCTTCAGGGTCAATTTCTTCAACCATTTCACTTCCTTCGTCAATGTCAATAGAAGCTTCTTCCACCTTTGGTAAGAATTTCTGTATAACATCTTTGTTCGTTATTGTCTTCAGAGATGAAGGATAATATTTCACATTTGTTTCACCCTTCTTATATTCTTTCTGTTCGGAAAGATTTAAAGCAATACTGAAGAAGTCAATATTAGAGTTCTTTATAACAGTATAATGAGTATCTTTGACATTCACGAAGAAACTCTTTTGTTTCAAAACTACTGCTAACTCTTGTGAAGTATAACGTTTGCGGTCAATGACGATAGCTAATGGTCTGACATACTGACCAAACTTAGATTCTTTCACAAACTTCTTGTTAAAGATAACATTAACATTTGAAGCATTATTGAACTCATTCTTGATGGCAGTAGCGAGAGCATTGTATGAAAAGAACTTGCAATCTTGCATGTGTTTCATTAAAATAAAAATATTAAATTATTTTGAAAAATAACTTAAAAAAATCTAATCTAATTTTTTCAAAAAATATTTTTTTATTTCCTACTAAAGATGTATCGGAAGTTGTCTAAGTTAGAACACTCGGAAATAAAACAACTTCTTACAGAAGCTAACATAGAAGTAGCAAAACATTACGCAACAAACAAAAAAGCACTCGCTGACTTCATTAAAGACTATAATGGTGCAATAAGTTATGATAGAATTCATGAGTTCATAAAGCCGCAACGCGGCGAGGACGAAGTCCATGCAAGAGCATTTCCTTTAAATGACGTTGCTATTGACTTATATCATAGACGTTCAGTACCTCATGAAGTAAGAAGAGAAATGTTTGACATAACAAATGCAAACGTTGGTGAAACAAGAAGAAGAGACGACACACTGAAACAACAGAGAAGAGAGATGTTTAAGAGCGCTATAGAACAAGTTCGCAAAGCTAACGATGTCATTCGTTCCATTGACGACAAACCAAAAGAAGGTGAGAGATGGTTAAAGAAAGATGAAGAGAATAGGAAGAGAAATGTGAAGTCAGGCAATAGACTCATTGACTTTAACATCGAAGCTTTAGATGAACCAAACAGAGACTACTTACACAAACATTTCGGTAAGGTTTTCATGAGACTCTTAGAGAAAATTAAAATAAACTCACAACAGAGATGGATGGTATGTTATAAACTTGGTGGAAAGTATGAATGTTCTACGTTAAACCTCAATAATATTGGAACATTACTACATCAGCTCTTGAAGGAGAACTTTATATCAGAGATAGAAGCAAATGCTGCAGGTATTGTTGAAATGCACTATGACTTCTTCTTGACAAACATAAAGAATCTTACCGAAATAAAGATGTATGATTTAACAGAATATGAAGGCTTAACGATGTCAGATGTAAAGAAAGGCAAACCAAAAAAGAGACCATATAGAGATGAAAGCACACTGACAAATGACCAGAAAGCCATTTTGGAAGCTCTTAAGCAAACAGGAAACCCAGCACTTATAGAAAGCTTTTGGAAAGATAATGGTGAAAAGAAGTTTTATAAGAAGAGAAGCGGTCAGTTCTGGAAGTATCTTTGCACATTACCTATAAATCTTGAGCGCTACCAAATCTTCAATGAACTGAACAAAAGAACTGCAACACTTATGACAGAAGACAATTGTTTCGTTTATGCTTGCATTCAGGCTGGAGTAGATGGAGAACTATTGACCACATGAGAGAAGTCATTCGTGTTAGAGACTTTCCTCAAAGTAAAGTACAAGAAATTTCTGACGCAACAGGTATAGCATTTAATGTTACCATTGGTTACTTCAATGACTCAAGACATAATGAAATAAAGAGATACATACCAAAAGAATGTGAAACTGTTCGAACTATTGACTTACTTCTTGTTGAAGACCACTACATGCTAAATGAAAGATTACCAATGACAACATATTTCATTCGCAACTATATAGAAATTCTCAAAGCTTGTGGTGGAATGAACATTGAGAAACAAATGAAGATTTATACAAAGAGAGAAGATAAATATGTAGTTCGTTATGATAGAACAACACCGTTATGGGATGTTATGAAAACATTGTGGGAGTGCAAATATTTCGAACCTATTTCTTATGGAGAACTTTTCACATATACGACTGACTTATATAAACAGAACCTTGCACCATTTAAAGATTTGACATATGCTCCAAAGTATTGTGTACAACTGAAGAAGAAAGCCGAGTCAAAAGAAGTAAATAAAAATAAGTGCAAGTTCATTCCTGAGCACGTTTTCTTTGCTGACTTTGAGTGTAGCACGATGGCTTTCATAAAGCTTTTAACATTGTTATGACAGTGAAGATGGTTCAGTGAGTGAAAGCATTTGGGGTCAGAACTGTGCAACAGAATTTTTGGAACGACTTCCTGACAAGAGTTTAATATATTTCCATAACCTCAGTTATGATATAAACTTCATCTTAAGACACATGACAGAAGTGAAAGGAACTCCCATCATTAAAGGTTCACGAACAATGCAAATAACTGGCTTATATAAAGGAAGGGCAATTATTATAAAAGACTCTTACAGTGTTATAAATAAGAAGCTTAAACTATTTCCTGCTATGTTTAACTTACAAACAGGACCGAAAGAAGTATTTCCATACAACTACTACAGCAGTGTTTTGTTAGCAAATGACAACAGAACTGGTGTCATTTCTGAAGCATGTAAGTTTATCCGGATGCGATACATTCATGAAAAACATAGATTCCATCAAAGGTTGCAGAATAGATGAGAACCACTTCGACTTAGAAAAGTATAGCACATTTTATTGCAAACAAGATGTAAGAATTTTAAGAGAAGGTTTTGTTAAGTTCCGCAATGACATATTGAAAGAATTTGATTTAAACGTTTATGACTACGTTAGTATTTGTTCAATTGCTAACAAATTATTTGAGAACAGAGTGTACTTCCCGAATGGAAATTTATATGACCTCTCAAATAAACCAAGAGAATTTATTTCACGCTGTATTCAAGGTGGAAGATGTATGCTGTCAGATAACATTAAACAAAAGAGCGAAAAGAAACTCATTGCTGACTTCGACGCTGTTTCATTATATCCATCAGCTATAGCAAGACTTTATACTTTAGAAGGTATTCCAAAGGTTATGAAGAAAGAAATGTTAAGCACAGAGTATCTCATGAGACATTTATTCGATGACGACCAAAAGGAACCCATTGGTGAAAAGTTTATGTCTGGCTTCTTTGTTCTCATTAAGATAACAGAGATTGGAATACATAGACACTTTCCTTTAATAGTTTGTGACCCTGAACTAAATCCAGAACTTAACGTTCCCAGAAGTTCAAACACTTGCTGTTTAATGTATGTTGACCATATAACATTACAAGACCTCATAAAATATCAAGGTGTCAAATGTGAAGTGTTGCAAGGATACTATTACGATGGAAACAGAGATATTAGAATAAGAGATGAAGTAAAGAAGTTGTTTGAGTTAAGGTTAAAGTATAAGAAAGAAGGAAATCCTTTGCAAGAAAATATAAAGCTCATTCTGAACAGTATTTATGGCAAAACTATTCTATCTCCTATTGAGTCAAAAATAACCATAGTAAATGACAAAGATGCTATAAGATATGCCATCAGAAACTACAACCATATAGTGAAGTTCGAAGGTTTGGATGGTTCAGATAAAACTATTTTCAAGCTAACGAAAAGCATTTGCAGACACTTTAACTTCTGTCCACTTGGTGTTAACATTCTGTCTATGTCGAAGAGAATAATGTGTGAAGTATTCTGTACTGCTGAGGACTTAGGAATGGACATCTTTTATAGCGATACGGACAGTATGCATCTCTACAATGAAGATATCCCTCGTTTAGCTGAAGAGTTTGAGAAACGTTATGGAAGAGTTCTCATTGGTAAAAACCTTGGTCAATTTCATAGCGACTTTGCAGAAATCACAAAAGATAAACAAAGTTTAGCATACAAGTCAATATTTTGTGGAAAGAAGACTTACATAGACTTACTCACGAATGATTTAAATGAAGTTGCATTTCACTGCAGAATGAAAGGCGTGAAGCAAGATGTTATTGCTTTAACCGCTAATGAAATGTTTCCTGACTCTGTTCAGTGTTATGATGAAGATAATTTTAATGGTTCCGCAAGGAACATATGACAAAGACTCTGAGTTCAGTTTAATGAAACTTTACAAAGCACTTTATGACGGTCAAGAGATTGGATTTGACTTATGTAAGTCATGCTTGAAGAGAAGTTTAACTTCTCAATAACGACTAAAACAAGCTTTATTCGTAAGTTGAAGTTCTGAGGTCATTTATTTTTGTCAGCAATGAGGTCATTCGTGATAAAAATAAAACTAGCGCAAGGGCGAAACCCATGTGGTCATTTACAATACTGCGATGGTAGAGTTTAAGAGTTGTGCTTCAATGTAGAGACAGTCCTTATGGTCTGGAGGTAAGAACACTGGGCAGTTATGGTCATGAGTGGAGAACATGTCTATCCAAAACTCACGATTGAAGCCAGTTAATTTATAGTATTTAGGGTTAGGAAGTGGTGAAGTTCTTGTATGACCAATGAACTCATTTTCAACTCCCTTACTTAAGTTTGAATATAATATAGCTTGCTTTCTATCCCAAATGCCTGGAAATCTAATTTCGGAAAAATCATTTTTCCTCGGAAGCATTGCATCATAATTGAAAACATTCTTGAAATCATCACTTGGTTCAGAGATTTGAAATCTTATACGTAATGGATTTTTTTTCTTTTTAGCTACTTCATTGAATGGTGAGAATACAATGAATTGACAGTCATGTGTTCCATCTTCATTTGTTACAAACTCGTAATGAAAAGCTATTAATCTTTCTACAATTCCTTCTTCTTTCAGTTCTGCAAGAAAATCACGTAAAGGCTGTAAAGTTTGTACTTCAATGTTAAACTTCTTTTGAAAATTTTCGTAAAATGTAATTAACAGTCTTCTAACGTCGTACTGTCATTGAAGTATTTGTATATGTGAATGTTTTGGGCGCTTAAAGACTGTTCGTCATTTTCTATCTCGACTTGAAGTATAAAGTCAACCTTTCTGAAAGCACGTGTTATATACATAGATGTTATGCCAATGTACTTCTCTTCATTTATGTTCACAATCCAGTCTGTTGGAAACTTAAACGTTACTCTGTTCCCCTTTATTTTGACGTCAGGGTTTTCACTACTAAACGCAACAGATAAAGGTATTTGTCTATACATTTAGTTCCGATAAAAATAAACCATTTACTCTTTCTTTGCTTCAGCTTCTTTAGCTTTTGCTTCAGCTTCTTCTCTAGCTTTCTTCGCCAGCAAACGTGGGTTCTTCTGTCTTCCAGCAGCTAATGCAGCAAGTTGTTTTTCACTAAGTTTTCTCTTTGGTCTCTCTGGATTTTGTTCTTGTTTTTGTTCCTTCAGTTCGGATAAAATTTGCTCACGAATTTCTTTCTTCAATGCTTCAACATCTATGACCCCTTGGGTCTTGTCCGTAGGGCTTGTCTGAGTCATTTGACTGCAGATAAAAAACAAAATTAAAACTTTAACCGATGTAAAATGAGCTTGTCAAAATCAGAGCGAGAGTCTATTATATTAAATGACGCAAGAGGAATACAACATCCTTTCTATTACGTAAGTCAGAGTAAAGATGGTAAAATATACGTAAGAAAAAGAAAGGTTCCATTAGCGAATGCAGAAAGCGACAACATTAAGGTGCATGGCAAGGGTGAAGTCCACGAAGCCCATATAAAACCTTCTGTTCAAACTGAGCCACCAATAGAACCAGAAGAAAAGAAGCCAGATGTACTTTCAATAACGAACCAAGAGCTTATTGCAAAGTTCGTGAATTTCATTGAAAAACAAACCGAGTCAAAGAACCCTGACCCACCAGTGAAAGAAGTTGAGACAAAAGAGAATGTACAGTTCATTGAAAATGTCAAGAAACAACTTCCACCACGAATGCCAAGAAGAAGAGTGAGAATAATGAAGTAAATAGATATTTTTATCTGAAGTAAATACATGCAGAACGAACAGCTAAACGAATTTACTCCAGCAGAGCATATTCATCAGATTCGCTCATATTTCGATATCATAGACAATGCAGTTCAAATTGGTGACACTAATAGAAAATATTCTGACGCAAAGATTCCATCACAACCTGGAACTGCTAAAGATAACACATGGGTAACATTCAATCTCTCACCTCCTGGTGAAAATATGTTGGACCTTTACAATACATTCATTACGTATAAAATGGAAGGTCAATTTATTGTAGATAAAGAAATTGGTTCAGGTTCCAATAAAACAAACCCACCAGGATTTTGGATTGGTTTCGATGACGCTTTCTATGCAGCTGCTGGATATCAAATCCTTGCAAATGGTCGTATCGTATATTCTCAAGACAACGCAAGAGAAGAAGCATATATAACTTCAAACTCACAAACTACCGAACAAATAAAGAAAGTAGATGTTTTCTCAAAGACTCGACATGAAGATGTATGGAGTCATTCGGGAACATGCAGAACAGGACAAATTGTTAGTGGTCCAATTACAGCAGGAAAATCATTTGATTTTAAGCTTCGTTTAAGAATTCCTGTTAGAAGATTCCTTCCATTAGAAGCTATTCGATTTATTCCAGCTTTTGCAGGAAACATTCAGCTTAAAGTAAAGTTCAGTAGCGACGCCTTACAATGCACATCTATATCTGTAAATGATATCATTGCTTTCAATCCAACTCTTAAAGTTGCATTTGCTTCAGATTCAAATCCACCCACAAATAAATTTGTTCCATGGAATGAACCATTCACTATGATAACGAAGGCAGTAGAAGCTAGTGGAACAGTTACTATTACAACTGTAACCCAGCAACTATTTCGAACAAAGCTGGATTTTAATGAATGTTTCATTCATCCAAAGTCATTCTCTTTAGACCCTAACATTTATACAGAACTTGTAGAACATTATACAAACGAGGCTTTATGTTTTCCTGTTAAAGTTATGTATTGGATTCCTATGGACGGTTCATTCTCAAAGAATACAGATAGTTCAAGTGCAACATTTACAGCAGCTTATACGCCTATTAATGTTAAAAGTATTTGGGCACTATTTAGAAAGAAAGACAACTATTATGTTAATTTTGAGAACCCTAAGTTTAAATATCTTCAGCTTTCCATGGGAGCTTATGGAAATATGCCTGCAGAACCTGAAAAATCATATGGACCTGTATTTTATGAAATGGTTGCGAACGCTTGCAATACAAACAATGATATGATAGGATTTAATGAAGATGTTATGAGGTCATTGGTGGATGATGGTAGTGTGGAACATAAATGGGATAGCTATGACAACACACATTTCTTATGTGGTTTTCCAACAGAAGTGGACTTTTGCTTCCAGCAAGGTCAAACATCTACTGCTCCAATAACATACAAATTGTCTGTTAAAGGACCTATTGAACTAGCAACTGAAAATGTACCAAAGCCACTTATTGGATTTATGAGGGATTGTTGCTTTGCCATTCAGGTGCGTGCTAATGGAATCCCAATAATAAGATTAGATGACTATAACTTAGCTACGGACGACGGTGAGGAATAAAGGATGAACGTTTATTTTTAAAGCTTATAAATGAGTTCTTCATCAAGCTCTCGTGAACCTTCACCATCTATGAAACAAACTTTACCAAACGATTATGGAGCACCTATTGAATATTTCTTACGAGTTGCACAATGGCAAAGAGCAGTCTCACCAAGGTTAGGTGTTCCACCAGCTCCTGTCAAAAATAGCATTTGGTCAAGTCCTTATATAAGATATGGTCTCCCACTAGGTTTGCTAGCTACAGCAGGAGCAGTTATGATGTTGAAAAGAAATAAAGCAAATGTTGTAAATAATACTGAAGTAGCTGAAGTTAAACAAACTCCAACACCTTCACAAACAACACCTTCACAAGCAAAACCTTCAATGACTCCTGAACCTATGGAAGTACAAACTCCTGTTCAAAAGTCAACTCCTAAACCGACTCCAACATTTAAACCAGAACCTACTCCTCAAATAAATCGTAAAACTCCTGCGTCATATTAATTAAATATCTCTTTTCAACACGTTCACTTCTAATACCCGACAATAACCTACCATAAAACCCCTAAAGCCACTTTTTCTTCTCTATTTACTTTCAAATTCTGAGATTCAAATTTTGTTCTATTTCATTCAGTTTTCTTTTATCAAAATCATATAACCATTCATACTGATTCTTAATTTACTATATTACATTGAGATTTCATCTTTTTTCATATTTCGAATTAAATCAGCTATTTAAACCTAATATCCGGACCTGTCAGTATTCAAATATTATTGGCCACATGTATCTGAGCATTTACACGGATTTTACCCACGTTTTGCAAAAAAAAACCAAAATGATAGAGTGGGTCATAAGGATCAGTTTTGCTATAGCTTGTCCGGCTTGAAACTCAATATTCATTCGGGAAAAGACGTTTCAAAATTTTGTAAAGTATTCAAATTTGCAGCTTTGTTCGATTTGAAAATTGAAATTTGAAACGAAATGACTGTATGAATATGTTCTTCATATTGAATCTAAGCATTTCTTGGAATTTGGAGTTTTTCTAAAAAGTTTTATCGGTTGAAAAATTAAAAATAAAACAAAAGAATTTTTTCCGATTTTTTAAACGCATCTTAATTTTTAACGGACGAAGGAGTATTTGATCAAAGTTTAATAAGGCTATCACACTATATTATAGTTATCTTGCAAAGTAAGCAATATAATCTGGAATTTAATAACTTCATAAAGATTTGATAAAACCATTTTTGTGTGATTAAGTATTTAATATGAAAACATTAAATTTCATTAGGAATATTTAAATGCTGTTATGAAGGTAAAGGATAATAGTTGAGAAAACATAGATTAGAAAAATTTGCGAATGATTGTGAGGAATAAGTGTTTC